ACATAAAAGGTTATCCAAAAATTGGTGAAAAGTGATGTAAAAGACAAAGCATGTGTTCAAATAGGATTTTAAATTCACATTGCTTGTGCTCAACAAGGGCGTCGTCTTGTTAGATGTGGCAACACGTCATTTGCTCCACTACCATTTGTTTGTGTGCATGGTTGAAAATCCTTATTGGAATCAATCCTACTTCAAACAGTAGATTCCATGATGCCAAAATCAACTCAACTTCATTACTTAATTACTTATGAATATATGTGTGTGTTTGTATATATATATATATATATGAGTGTGTGTGTGTGTGTATATATATGCAAAGAAAGTGCAATGAATGTGAAGCTCATGGAGAAGATGTGAAGGGAAGTTTGTACCCATCCAAAGTCAACCACCCAGGACTGACTGTGCACTGACTTTTACTTTTTGTAGACCGTGCGTTGACTGGAATGCATTTGACTTTTCACGTTGACTTTTTATACAGTTGTGATCCACACATCTGCCGCCAAATGTCCAAATCTCCTTTCATGCCCATCTCCCCATCTCTTAAGCTTGGATGCGGATGAAAAAGAAATTATGCTCATTCATCCACTGTCTGTTCCCCTTTCCTGGGCTCTTTTTGTGTTTTTGGTGAGGGGGTTTTTTAATTTTTTAAGTTTTAATTTTCTACCCGTTAATTACATTTTAAGGGCATCATCCCCTTGAGAGGCCAGGGGGGTGGGGGGTCTAATTGACACATAATCTCATTATTATCCTCTCTTTCAATCGATTTGTTTATTGATTTCACTGTATTCTAAGTAGATTGAGAGATAGATTTTTTCCAAGCAAGAGATGGGTCTTCAAAGACAGTGGCAAAAAATTGTAATACTTTTCTCATGTTCAGAAGAATTCGCTGGTTTGACAACTTCTTATGTTGATAAGAATAAAACTTTTTAAAACACATTCAAATCTGTAGGCAACCATATTTTAATTTATTTTTTTATTTACTAGTCTCAATGTTTTGTTTTGAAATGGTATGTCTTCTTTGACTGGAACTTGAACTTTCCCATCCACTGCATTGCCATAATTATCCAAATTGAATGATACTTTGGGTTCTGTTCCTTGGCCAACGGAAGCCAAGCCAAACTATCTATTGATCACAGCATCTTGTAGCGCATGTGATGGCATGATTTTGATGGTTTAGTTTTTTTAAACATTTACTGTTTCATTCAATTCTAGCCATGGCAGCAGCACACTTTGCATGTGGGCTGTGTTTGTGGTGCTTCTGTAGACAGAATCCCTCTTGTGTTTTTATCATTTAAAAAGTTGTCATGTGCAATCACATGTAAAAAATTGACTTATTGAAAAATGGTCAATGTATTCTTTATCCTTTATACACACACACACATAGATTTTGTGGAATACTGTTATTGAAAAGAGTATAGAAGTATGTGATATTGCAACACATGTCTTATTTTTCTTTGATACTCAACGTTTTTAAATTAAAATTAAAATTTTCCACTGTTCCAAAGGACATCAATCTTATTAAGATTTCTGTAAAGACACATAGTTATATTTATTTTTTAAAATAAATGTATGAAAATTATAAAACCATGAGAAGTGCCTTCATTGTGATACTATTGTGATAATATCGTGATAATATCATGAATCATTAGAGTTGTGATTCATGATATTTGAAGAACATGATTTGGTTTCTTATGGATTTCTCAGCTTGGGAATATAGCACACAAACTTTTAGCACCATGTCTTACAATTGAAGAGATCCACCTTCAAATGCAAAAGCTAACTTTGAACACTTTAGGTGTCAGTAAAAAAACGTTCATCCACATTCATCCAAATTCATCCAATGCAAGCTCAAGGGCGTCCTTACCAACAGAGTCAAAGTGGGGAAAGCTGTAAAGACACAGATTCCCTGACAAGACATATCAAGGCATTTGGTTCGTCCCGGTAAATGTGTGCCTTCAGCTCATTCATCCAAGTGTTGCAGATTATCCATCCATCCACTCTACCGTGCACCTGCTTTAAATATATATATATATATATATATATATCTTTGTAAGGATTTCGTGTGTCCTACAAAATAAAATGCCTCGGTGCACAACATTTCAATCACACATGCAAAGTTTAATCTGATCTCCTTTCTCCATCCAGAAAAACGAAATTTCATCCAAATGAATGGATGTTTTTCATTCCAACGACACTTCTGCGAAGGTTGTTGATTATTCCCTTTGAAAGTTGTCAGTCTTTCATTCATAACATGTTGCTACCCCTCAGCTTCCATTCAGGGTGAATAATTCATCAATTTTAGCATGTGTGTTGAACTTGTGCCCTTGAGAAACTGATAGTGTTGGAATTTTGTGCAGGCAAAAGGGGGAAACGAGAGCATATTAGAGAAAAAAAAAAATCGACACATGCATTGACTCAAAATTGGACAAGCTTTTATAGAAAATTAAGAATAAAATAAATTCTGGTGGTGTTTTGTCGTTCCCATTCTGGTCTATAAAGTGCGTTGACATTTGCATGAGGTCAACGCTTTTCAGATACTGTTTGTGGAATGCGTGACAAAAAGTCAACCGCGTTTTTTTTTCTTATTGTGTGATATGCAGGATGCTGTGTAATGATTAGCTACTTATTCCATCTTTTCCTGTTTGTTTGTTTGTTCCCGCTGCTGCAAGCATATATTTTATGTTTGGTTTCTTCACATTAATTTGCATTGGAACTCATTGTACTACTTGGGATGTACTCTTCATTTAGTCCCCAACTTAAAGTACGATTGGAAATTGAGGCCAATCCCCAAAAGAACTTGAAAAAAACAGGAAAAAAAAATTGAAAAAAGTTAAAGTTGAATGTAAGTAAGTCACAATGCTTGGGTTTGTCAAACATGATGCGGAGAGCCTTTGACAAGCTCTGGGAAAAAGCCTGCCAGCAGCTCAAGGAAAAAATCTTCAACGTTCAAACTAGTACAATGAGACTTTGACAGGAGCCTAACTGATGATGCTGGGCAGCGGGCAGCTGCTGCCCCAACAAAAGTCTCACTGCATGGTCAATACCTGCCCCACCTGCCCCACCTGCCCCCTGACCCCCCCCCCAAAAAGTAAAAGAAAACCCTTCCCTCTATTTGTTTATCTATCATTTTGTATACTGAACAGAGAATCCACTGTCAGCTGCGGCTGTGTTGACCAAGGGTGTGTGTATCTCAGGCTATTAAAACTTTAAAGCTCTCTACCCTTAGAAAGCTATGCTAGAATCCAATCCCCGATGGATGAAAAACGGAACCTCAGTTCTACCGCATTCATCTTCTGAGGGGAAGGATCCCCCATGCAACCTGAGTGGAATCCGTCTCACCATGGATTCATGCTTCCTGTAGAGCTTGACCATTAGGCATTCATTCTATCTACCTCGTGGAAACAAAAAAAATTAATAAAAACAATATAAAAAAAGAGTTATAACTCATGGTTTGATAGACTTTATGGATTGATATTGCATGTGTGGTCATGAGTTCATACTCATGTTGTAATGTTGGATTTAGGTTCTGAAAAAGGTCTTAGGTCCATGCTCACTCCTTTGGATTTTTTTGGGTTCAATAGGCGGGCTTATTTATTTTTTTATTATTAATAATAAGGTGGTTTTAATAAGATCAAATTGATGCAATGGAAGTCATTTGAATTATATCAAATGGAAATGTATTTATTTTTATTGTTATTTTTGAATAAAATTATATGGTAGGCTCTGGAGAGATGTGCAAGTTAATTGTCAACCTTTGTATTTTACATGTTGTTTTTGATGCACTGTTTGTGTGAACTATCAGGACATTCAATGTCAATGGCTATAAATGGTTCTTCTACAGGGACAAGTAAAGTACTAGTCTTTGCAATGTCTACAAAGGCTGGTATCTAATATATAACTTACAGTCCTTTTTTAAAATAACACTTGCATGACACAATGACACACTCTTGTTTTTAGACAATCCTTTTTTTCTTTACAACCCACTTTGAAAAACATAATCATTTTACCATTATTACATTATTTTGTTGTTCTTTTAAGGAATATGGGTTACATTGTGATCTTTGCAAAACAAGTACAATATTAATCCATATTACCACAATGCACCAAATGTTTCAAAGACTGCGATGGAGGAGAAGGACATATCGTCTGCCTTCCGCGCGTGGCAACCAAGCTTTCTGATATGCTCTTCTATAGAACACATTCATTGAGTCGCCTGCTGTCCATGACCCGGCAGCCAGCCCGCCATCGGCTCTTCTCACAGTGGGACCACTGCACACACACACACTCTCTCCCCCCCCCCCACCC